TAGTTACTTTACCTTTACGTACGTACGTACGTCTATTGTACGTACTACTACAACGTAACGTACACCGTACCTTCTTTTTTACTTTAACTAACGTAAACTAAACTAACTACTCTCTCTCTCTCTCTCTCTCTCTCTCTCTCTCTCTCTCTCTCTCTTCTATTTCTCTGTCTCTTGGCATTCTGTTTTTTTTTGCACTAATGTAGAAGCAGAATGAAGATGACTTCACCATGAATATGTGATATCTTGCTATGGTGATAATTTCCAATGCTGTAAGTGCATTGTGGATCACAAACTAGTTTAGTCGACTGAAAAAATTGATCTTTAACATTTCTTTGAATTTATTTTTGAATGATTTACATTTAGACCATAAAATGACTTCTAAATTACTAAATGCTCTGTTTATAGCTAGAAGTTACAAAGAAGTTTGGTCAAACTGCCTACTTTTATTTTTTCCAAAATTGCGCTTCGGTTATCCTCGGTCCTAATTTTCAGGTTTTTTTTTTTTGGAGTTTTCCATAGTACTGCAATGCCCCAAGCTTTAGGTTAGTCCTAAAATATCGGACTGCTCCGAAATGAGGTATCTGATGTGGGACACGTCAGACTGGTCAGAAACTTATTGTTAATTTCTCAATCTGGTATTTCTGACTTCAGACTGGTTTGAAAGTTACTGATAATTGGTACAGAGCAGTCCGAGGTCTCCAACATCGGATACAGAGCAGTTCGAGGTCTCCAACATCGGGCAGCCCACTTTAGGGCAGTCCAATATTTCAACATTCGATTGGCCCTAGGTCACAACTCATGGAGGGCAAAAGTCTTTTTTATTTTTTAATTTAATTTAATTTCAAGGGTATATATTGTAGTTTTAGTTTTAGGTAAATCATCTCATTGTATACAATCCCAAAATTTTATAGGTTGCACTTGCACCTGATTCAGTTTTCTCTTTCAAAATCATCTATAAAAATATTAACATTTTGAAGAAATTCTGTAACTAATAATTACGCCTTTGCAGGTTCCTCCTGCCCTCTATGATGAGTATGGAAAGTCCCTTAACAAAGGCAATGTATACATTACTGAAGACAGCCCAGCAAGTGTAACATATGCCTTTCTTCAACAATTCCGGAACGACTTTTCTCGATTTCTCAAGTTTCGTTCACAAGAGGTGGTCAGAGACGGGTGCATGGTGTTAATGTTTTATGGTCGAAGGACAAAGCAGGCAGTTGATGAAGAGAGTGGCGTTTTATGGACTACTTTGAGTCAAGCTATAAAGAATCTGGTTTCTAAGGTGCTCCCCCATTTCTATGTTTGCTATATATCTCCAATCTTTTGCACTTTCTAGGACAAAGTTATGTGTGTTTTTGATAATCACAAAAAAAAGTAAAAATGAAAAGGGCTACATGTGTGGATGAATGGCACCCCTACAAAGCCGATCCCTGTTTCGGGGTAAGATGTCCATCGCCTCTTCTAAACTTTCAAAAATGTGTTGATGCAGGGATTTATAGAAGATGAGAAGCTGGATTCTTTTGATCTGCCATACTATGAACCATCTGCAGAAGAAGTTGAAGAAGAGCTGAAGAGAGAAGGCTCATTTACAATTTTGCATTTCGAACAAAAGCCCATAGCTCCATGGGAAGCCAACAAGAATGCAAAAAACTTAGCATTGATAACGAGAGCTGCGGTAGAGCCATTAATGAAATATCATTTTGGAGAGGAAGTCATGGACATGATATTTGAAGAATATACTGAACTTATGCAATTGGATTTCGATGAAGGGAAAAAGAAGCTGATTCATTTTGTTCTTGTCTTAAAAAGATCAAATTGAACACACTTCGATGCATCGTCCACCAAACGATCCCTTAAGTTTGACGTGTCAATTCGTAGAGAGCTTGTTCCACTGTTTATGTACTTTATATTTTGATGTCTATTTGTGTTGAGCTTGTTCTATCGTTCATTTATGTCTATTTTACCTATTCAATCTCACTTTTTTTGTAAGTTTCCATAAATTGTTTTTTGCCATAAAAAACTTGTGATTGTCTACTATGAGACCATTTACTATTGTTGCAAAGATGTCACAATCATAGTTACTGGGACTGGGACTGGAAGTGGGCGTGGGAGTGGGAGTGGGAGTGGGTGCAAGAACAAGAGCAAGAGCGGGAGTAGGATCACAGGATCGACAGCTATCCAAAGCTCCGGAGCTCAAGGACCGAGTTCTGGTGAGGGTAAAAGTAGCAGATCGAGATCCCTTATGAATAGGGAGCACGTTCACAATACATTGGATCACAATCCTAATTAAACCGGTATGCATTCCACGTCAAATAAGATCTTGTTCCCATGCTCATTAGGATCGCACTTCCCTCGACAACAAGAATGAGATCCATTTAAAGTTGAGTCGCGCCTCCATTTTTGTTTTTATACATGTCACATAATTTAGTGACAAAAAAGCTAAAAGGGGGAATATGGGACACATGATTCACTCTTCTTTGTTTAACTCTTCTCTTTCTTTAGAAATGGGTCAGGGCCTCTTTTTGGTTGTGAGAAAGAGAAAGAGGTGAAGAAAGATTTATTGTCCAATTTTTTTAGTGAAGTTATATGAGTTTAAATTGCTTATGTTCTTGGATCCTTCGAAGTGAAACACGGGGGTAAATCATGGTTTTGGGTGATTAAAAGGAAGCTATTTTGGTGACGAATTTTATCGATTTTCTTATTTGAGGTAACATTATATCCCTCCTTTTTCTGTTTTGGGAAGATAATCGAAAGGGTGCTATTTGGTTACAGTATTTTGTATTTGTTGTTTATTGCAAGGTTTTAATACTGGCTTGGACTCGGAACTCGGGTGTGTCCAACGGACTTGCCCGAGTAGTGTACAAGCCAAAAAAAGGTGAAATATTTGAAAAAAAAAAAAGGAAATAAATATTGTAAAACTAATAGTGGATTGGCTTGTGGTCTGTTGTTTGTTTCAACTATATTAGATCTCTATGCTCATGCTCTGGATGAATCATGGGTTTGAATGTTCTTTTTTTCTTTCTTTTTTTTAAAATGTTGACTTGTACAGAAAATGGTCCCCCGCAACGGGGGCAGAGGCCCAAATATAATGGGTAGCAAAAAAATCCCAAAAGCTTTACATCTCTCGTGTTTTGAAAATATCCAAGGCATGGCTCTTTTAGTATCCAAATTTATCTTATGGACTGGACCTAATGACTTTCATGTTATTTCTGTCCTGTTATGTTTGGTGGTGATTAGGGTGTTTCATTAAACCAAAAGTAATTTGTCTGCCCAATATAGAGAGTAATAGCTAAATGCCACATCTATGGAAAATTGGAAATTAGAATGATCATTCTTCTTTATATTGTAAACATGGGTAGAATTTCCAAATTGAATGCATGTTTTAATGCCTTTAACAAGGCAAACGAGGGTCCGAGGGAGAGGGAGAAGGAGATATTTGTTTGTTGCTCAATTATGGCTTAAAATACTTTGAGAGAGAGAGAAACTAGGTTACACTTATTACTAGTTTCAGTAATGAGAGAGGGGGTTGGTGTAACTTAAACTATTTAAGTTAAAGTTAACTGGACGTACATCAACCTAAACGATCCAATCTAAAACAGTAAACACACTAAACCTTGCCCACCTAAATCCAAAACAGTAAACAAGAAAGCAGAAATCATTAACTAATACAACTTATACGATTTGAATGGAGTCGGATAAGCCTCCTATACGATTTGTATCCAAAACAAAAGCAGTTCTAATAGGAATGGAGTCGGATAAGCGGGGTGGTGTTGTATCCAAAACAAAAGCATTCCTGATAGGAATGGAATCGGATAAGCGAGGTGGTGTTGTATCCAAAACAAAAGCAATCCTAATAGAAATGGAGTCGGATAAGCAGGTTGGTGTAGAGATCGGATAAGCCTCCTATACGATTTGTATCCAAAACAAAAGCAGTCCTAATAGGAATGGAGTCGGATAAGCGGGGTGGTGTAGAGGAGTCGTAACAATCATAAAAGCAAGCACTAATAGAAGTCATCAGGGTCGGAGTCGGATTTGAATGGAGTCGGATAAGCCTCCTATACGATTTGTATCCAAAACAAAAGCAGTCATAATAGGAATGGAGTCGGATAAGAGGGATGGTATGCGGATAAGCGGGGTGGTGTAGAGGAGTCGTAACAATCATAAAAGCAGAAAGCACTAATAGAAGTCATTAGAGTCGGAATGGAGTCGGATAAGCAGGAGTCGGATAAGCGGGGTGATGTTCGGATAAGCGGGGTGGTGTAGAGGTGTCATAACAATCATAAAAGCAGAAAGCACTAATAGAAGTCATCAAGGTCGGAAAGGAGTCGGATAAGGGGGTAGTGTAGAGGAGACGTAACAATCATAAAAGCAGAAAAGCAGAAGCAGAAAGCACTAATAGAAGTCACTGATAGAAGTCACCAATAGAAGTCATCGGGGTCGGAGTCGAATGAGTGTGGTGGAGTTGGATAAGAGGGGTGGTGTAGAGGAGTCGTAACAATCATAAAAGTAGAAAAGCAGAAAGCACTGATAGAAGTCATCAGGATCTGAGTCGGATGAGTGTGGTGGTGAAGCGAAGTCATAACAAACATAAGATGAGTGTGGTGAATCTGATTCTTCCCCTCCACTCGCCCATCCCCCAGCGTCCGCCCACGCCTGAGCTTGGTTTATGATTCCTCCCCTCTACTCGCCCATCCCCACGTCCGACCCCTCCACAGGACCACTCCACTCGCCCATCCCCTCACCCAACCCCTAGCCG